CTCAAAACTTTCCAAAAAGGAAATGAGGAGAATTTTCTGGAAAATCGCATAAAGGCAACTGAGAAGAATTTTAAGGGACGCAGAGAGCATAATCAGTTTTAAGAAGCGGATCCAACAGCCCTTATTCAAAAAATAGAATTTTTTTACATATTACAAAAATATCCTGCTATACACCTATACCATGCTTAAGGAATTAAGGTACAACCGGTTATTCCATATAATTTGTGGTAATGTATTTTTCGAAGGTTTAGGCTAACCGCATTACATGAAGTCAAAAAGCTAATTGGAAGCTATGGACTCCCCATGAGTGCTACAATCAAAGATTAAATCCGTATATGAAGGGCTGGTAATGGGATACATAGGACCTTTGGTGCTAGCGATTCACTCGCTATTCACTTAAAAAAGTAAATGCCAAAAATGGGTGCATGGACTAGATGTGAGTAGGGGTGTAAACGAGCCGAGCCAAGCCGAGCATGGGTAGGCTTGAGCTTGAGTTTGATAAGAATTCACGAGCTCAAGCTCGATCTCGAGCTTGGACGAGTTCAATAATTCGGGCTTGAACTCAAGTCGAGCTCGGCTCGGGCTCAATTCGATCTTGGTTCGAGCTTGGGTCAAGTTTTGCTAATTAATTTGTATAGGTTTGAATTCGAATAAGATGCTCGAACTCGAGCTAGAAAAATATAATATGTGTACTTATTCGTTCTCATTCATAGTTTATCTCTCCTTCATTGAGACTTTTATTCTTTATTTTACCTTCAATAAATATTACGGGTACATATTATAATTATTACAAATTATGATTATAATAATATTATGTATATGTTATTATTATTTTTAATGGTTACTATTATAATATATCCCGTGAAAAGTATAGAAAATGAAATAGTCCCAAATTAGATACATATTCCAAAAAAGTACATATATAATTATGACATATTACACATAATTATATATTATAAAATATGACGCAAAGGCTCACGAACCGGCTCGCGAGCCACGGGCCTAAAATAAATAGGCTTGGATTGAGCTTGTTAACCATTCGAGCCGAGCCAAACTCGGGTCGAGCTTAATATGACCGATTTCAAGCCGACCTTTCCTAAGCGATACACGAGCAACTTGCGGGCGGCTTGGCTCATTTACACCCTAGATGCGACGCACACAGGAGAAATGACCAACATGAGATCGATCCATGTGAAATTATTTTTTTCTTTAAAGTATTATAATTTTTTTATACTCTAATTTGTACACTACAAGAAAACTGTAGATAGACCCCTCGCATAGACCAATTTTTCTTGCAATGGCCGCATAATTGTCGTTAAAAACACTATTAACCACACTTTTTTTTATTTATCACATACAAAACTGTGGTGAAAGGTCAGAGACGATAGTTTTTAACCGTGCCCAATGTTTTTACCATAGCTGTTGTGGCGACCAGGGCCGGCCCAAGCCAAGTGCCAGTAGTCCGATTGCACAGGGCCCGTAAATCCTGAAGGCCCAAAATTTTAATAGTCCTTCTATTATTATCAACAATTATAGCCCAAAACAAAAAGCCAACACATGTTTCGATCCCTGGTGTATTTCTTGCGCACGCGGATGTTGAACCAACTCAGCGATCTGGTTGATGATGACACACTTTCATTTTTTGTTTTTTTATCATCAAATTATTAAAATAACCCATAAGGCTTAAGCCCAATACTATCAAGTATCAACTAAAATTATTTATATGGACTTTTAATCATAATAATAACATTTTTTTAGTATTTCACACTATTATTAAATGAAATTAAATTACTACGTAGTATTAGATATTTATGAAATTAACCTACTATTTAGATATTTATCCATTTAACTCCAAACACATTTTAAATTTATGAATTTTATTTTGGTAGTGATACATTAATTTTTGATTTAATCTTATAACCATTATTAACACCATTAAATGTTAGGACCGGCCCTGGTGGCGACGCTTCTAAAACTGACGCAAAACTGTCGTAAATGTTCCTCCTTATGTTTTTACGACAGTTTTACGTGGTAAAAACCTGAGCCACGGTTAAAAATGGTCGTCTCTAAGCTTTTACCACATTTTTGTGTGTGGTAAATAAAAAATGTGTGGTTAATGGTGTTTTTAACGACAGTTATGCTGATATCGCAAAAAAAAATTGTGGTCCATGTGCAGTCTATGTGCACTTTTCTTGTAGTGGTATAAAAATATATTGAATATGTAAAACTAAAAAAATGAGAAGTTTCATCTATTGGAGATTTGTAGATCTAACATTTTTCTCAAATCAATATAAGTAGTGTTAAAATTAAGATTTCATTGTTAAAATATTTTTTACATCTTTCAATTATTAATTTTCCAAAATATATTTCATGGTAAAAAATTTCACTCCAAATTTATTTGTTTTTACATCGAAATATTTGATATTTTATATCATAATTATTTGTAAAAATAGAATCTGGGAAAAAATTATGTATAATAATAAAAGTAAGGATTTAACTAAAAAAGAATGTGTTGAGTGAATATATTGACGGTGCTGGATTTCATGGAAAAATTGGATTAACTGACTGAATACGTATACACTTGTGTGTGATTAGAAAAAATCCCATTAGTATTACTCTTAGGAAAGTGGTGGACACAAATGTGACTTGGTAACTTTGAGTGACTATAATTGTAAATAAAGTTACTATGATAAAGTGACTACGATAGAAACTTTGAACACAATTATAGTCACTAAAAGTTATTAAGTCACATTTTTGTCCATGACATTTTTTAGTAATATTTTAGGAAAAAACTCTTATGTTTATTGCCTAGTTGGGTTGCGATTAAACAACTACTTCCTTCATATCTATATGTTTCCTCCATTTAGTTTTGGCACAATATTTTAGGATAAAATAGTAAGAGTAGTGAACAATGTAGAAAAAGAAGAGATAACGTGTAAAAGTATGAAAGAGGAGATAAAAAGTAGATTAAGGGGGTGTTTGGATCTGCTTCTTTAAACTGCTTCTACTCCTCCAGGGAGCAGAATCAAAAGTTTGAGTGTTTGGATAAAAGTGCAGAATTGATTCTGATGTCTAATTTACTCCTAGAATCAATTTTTGGGATATTAATTTGGATGATCACTTAACTTTTAGGGAGCAGGGCCGGTCCTGTCGATTTTGGGGCCCATGGACGAGATATTATCATGGTCCTACATGTTAATTCATCTATCTCTAACCCTAGCTTTTCTATCTCCTTCTGTCGCAATACTTGGATTTGGAGAAGGTAGAACATCACTCATGCTTTTTTTCTCTAGTAGTTTGGAAATAGGTGCGTGATAGAATTGGTATCATGTTAGAGAAGGAGATGAAGTACCGATAACTCTAAGTGATCGATCGAACTATTATATATAGTATTAATCTAATCTTCAAATACAAAAACATATAAAGATATCTATTCCTAGTGCAAGTTGTAGCTCCGGCAGTCCGGCGTATGAATACTGAGGAAGAAATAATTAGAGCCGACTCTCGTAGTCTCATTCCTTTATTTTGCAGCGAGACAACAAGTCCTTTTTTATGACAAGAATAATACTACATACTACTCCGTATAATGTTAAATTAGAACTAATATAGCAAAAGTTCCTCCTTTCAAAATAAATATAGCAAAAGTTTCTGTCTTTGGATATTCTGCCTTTCTTTTTACCAAAAACCAAATCATAAACCCTTTCATTCTCACATATGATCAGAGTTTTTGTACTCATGGGGTAACTCTAATTCATTTTTAATCAAATGAACACTCTCAATGGCAGCCTATAAACAACTGATAACATGAACAGGTTTGACATGATATTTACTTGATAGGGTTCCATGTCCATTCTCACTTTTTCTTTTTTGGCAGAGTCTATTTTACTGCGAGCAAGGGAGTGAGCTTGAAAACCGGATAAAAAACATAAAGGCGTTGAATTTTGCTATTTTATTTAAGGTTCTTATGTGGAAATGAGAATTATAGTTGAGTGTGATGATTAGGATGTTTTTACTTGGACTGTAATTTGCCCCAGACCAGACCAGACCAGACCAGTCCAGACCAGACCAGACCAGTTCAGACCAGACCAGACCAGATCAGACTTGGATAGTTATAAAAATACAAAGAAACCAGACCTTACCAGACCAGACCAGACCAGTTCAGACCAGACCAGACCAGATCAGACCAGACCAGACCAGACCAGCAAATTACAGTCCAAGTAAAAACATCCTAAACATACTAATCTGCGGCAACTTTTTTTGTATCGTACTATTCCAGCAACTTAATATACTGGATATATTAATCTGCAACTAAACTTATAATTAAGTGATCAAAATAAAACAAATTAAAGTATTGTGACCAAATTGAAACTTACTTAGAAGTAAAGTGATCATCCAAGTTAATTTATCATCAATTTTCTAAACACCTCTAAATAAGGAAAGTTGAATATTTTATAAAGGATAAACTTACCGAAAATGAAAATGAAGGGAACTTTTAAAAAAAGACTCCCTCCGTCCCGTTGGAATGTTCCCGCTTTCCTTTTTTGAATGTCCCGTTGGAAAGTTCCCCTTTCCCTAAATGGAAAGTTATCCTACATCAAAACAGTGTCAAACAGTGCGAAACAGTGTCAAACAGTGCCAAACAGTATCGAAACAGTGTCAAAACAGTAAAATTTACCCATGATAAATTCAAATCTGGACGGGAAGCATGATTTTCTCACACATAGAGCCAATGGAGTCCCCTCCCGATGATCCGATTCGATTTTGAGTTTCTACAACATTCGTACTTTTGTACGGGAGTGTATTTTGCCGCTTCCAATAACCTCCTCCGTCCAAAAGCTGTCCTATTTCGTAGGGTCGGGGTACAAAATGGAACTTTGCAAAAGGAAAAGCTGTTGAATTGCAATAACTGAAAAGTTTCAATCATTTCCCGATCACCATTCCGGAAAGCTCATATATATTTCATGATGATCACAAGCTTTTCAGCTAATTCAAAAGTACTATTCACCAGAAAGACCATGTCTGCAGTTACAATTGAACCTCTGACCCACCATTGTTTCCGTCGAACTCCGGTTCGGTACTTGAATCACCGAAAACTCCCGTCATCTTCTGTAACTCACACACGGAGATCGCTCTTGGTAGGCGCTGCCAGGTTGAGCTTCTGCAACACTACGCCTAGGCGTCGGAGGAAACTTCTTGCTCCCCGAGCTAGCTCAACTGTTGTTGAAACTTCCGAAGTTGTGTTCCAAGAAATTTTCGATTTGAAACGACCTCAAAGAGTAAGAGAAAAAGATGCCTTTTATGTATTTTCAAATACTAAATTCATGAGTATGGTTGTATGAATTTGTTGTTGCATAGGCACAGGTTTAACGGATCACAGCTGTCAGAACTAAAGTATTTCTGAATTTGAGGAACATGCATTAATGTAGAATAAGAAAGGATATAAGTAAATTCAAGTTCATACGTCGTTTATATAAAATATAAATAAATATGATTATCGGTATATGCAAACAGTTCAAACGCATTTCATGATTAAAGGAGTCTAAAGTAACTTTGTGAATTACATAAGCAATAGAGGGAGTCAGGCAGATGATCTGCAAGTACGAATTTGATTAAATTTTCTGGACACAAGGAAACAAATTAATACGGAGTAGATTTTTTACTTTTGGTGTTTTTGGAATCATTTTTTGGTATAATGCCTTTCCCAAGCCAGGAAAAAGGAGGAGGAAAAAGGAGGAGGGTGCTGTGGTAGGCGCGTGACAGCCAACCGTATTACTTGGTCACATCACATGACATAGAATCGAAATTAGCCGACCCCAATATCTTTTGGGACTAAGGCTTGGGTGTTGTTGTTGTTGTTGGTGTTTTTGGAATCACAGGTAGAAGGAAAGATAACAATCCGATTAGATAGTGCAAGGAATGAAGAGAACTGGAAGCTGACTGTAGGATGTAATCTACCTGGGAAGTGGGTTCTCCATTGGGGTGTTCATTATGTAGGAGTTTCTGGAAGGTATGTTAGAACAACCATATTCCTGAATTCCCAATAAACCTGAATATGGCATGTGTCAATACATAAATAAAGTACCCCCTCCGTCAGTCCAATTATTTGCTTTACCAATTGAGAAAAGATAGAATTCACTATGTCATCCCTTTTGCTACAAAACAATAAAATCTGAAGTATTGAGTTATGTATCTTTTCATTTGAATATATTTACAAATTACAGTCAAATATTTATTCAAAAACCACACATTTCAATGTAAATAATTATTTTTGGACATGGTTTTCGTGTAGTTATTTAATGGACTTTTATTTTCTGATGTCCATTAAATTAAATTAAATTGTTGACTGTATTGTCTATGAATCTATGTCATCATCATTCTCCTGATAATGATCTCTCTTTCATTGTGTTATTGGTTTTATTGGAACTGTATTTTAATTTTAAATAACTATGCATTGCATTTTTGAGGTGGCAGTGAGTGGGACCAGCCTCCTCCAGAGATGCGACCCGAAGGCTCCATTCCCATTAAGGTCTTGATTTTCTTTGTCTGTTTTTCTGTATGGTTTCTGTCATTTACACCCCATAATATTCTCTCAATGCCACTTTTGTACAAAATCAGGATTATGCAATTGAGACTCCTTTAAAGAGATTGACTGCAGCTTTGGAAGGAGAATCATTGTATGAAGTGCAGATTGACCTAAATGTTAACAGCCCAATTGCAGCCATAAACTTTGTATTGAAGGTCTGCTGCATTATAGAACTGTACAAACATTTTTTCAGAAAACGAAAGTTTTTTTTTAATGTATAGAACTGATGTAGGATGAGGAAAGTGGAGCGTGGTATCAACATAGAGGGAGAGACTTTCAAGTGTCAGTCATGGACTATGCTCATGCTGATAGTACCATGGAAGGAGAAAAACGGGGTTTTGGAATATGGAAAGGTTCAATGGCATTCTTTTTTATTCTCTTTGTAGTCTCTATGATGATACTTTTCTTCATATTGCATGTATGTGGTAAAATATCATTCCTCTTTGTTGGTCCTTCCTCTTTGCTAATTGCAAAGATGAACTAGTTCTTTAACTTGTAGATCTCATGCCTTCTGCCCTCATTAATCAGCAAAGATGAACCATGTTTCTGTATGGGGTTAGACATCACAGTCATGATTGTGAATTTAGAGTTAAAACAATAAGTTTTCTGAACTATTCCATCAGCTTGCTAAACATTAAGTGATATATTGATTATAGAATCTAGATATTACTGTGTTTTAAATGATAGTGTCTTTAACCATCCTTGGTTTAGAGGATTAAACGCTGAAACATAAATACTCCTTTATGGTAGGGGCACTTGGGCAGCTGTCTGACATGCTCCTTAAATCAGAAGTAGAACACCCTAAAGGGGTAAATAGAAGCAACGTGTTAAGAGAACCTACAGAACAAACTAGACGCCATGGAGGATTCTACGAAGAACAAGTTATTGTAAAAGAGACACTAGTTGATAATACAGTAGTTGTCACAGTCAAAGAATGTCCAGAGACAGCCAAAAATATTTTACAGATTGATACTGATTTACCGGGGGATGTACTCATTCACTGGGGAGTCTGCAAAGATGAGAGTAAAAACTGGGAACTTCCTGCTGAACCTTATCCTGCACAAACAACAATATTCAAGAATAAGGCAATGCGAACATTGTTGCAGGTATATGGTCACCCCTCACAGTAACTATATGTGGTAAATGATTGAGTTCAATAGAAGAAGCTTCTGCTGGATTCTATCTTAAACTGATTGTTATGAGCTTTCTCCTTGTTGGTTGACTATTTATGCTTCCTTTCTACAGCAAAAAGGCGGTGGATCTGGTTCTCAGGGATCATTTACTTTGAATGAAGGACCTGTAGGGTTTCTTTTTGTACTGAAGCTACATGATGGCACATGGCTGGATTGCAAGGGAAGGGACTTTTATGTACCTCTGCCCAGGCGCACAAAAGTTCAATTAAGCTCGACAGAGGCTGACGTTCAAGTACAAAACAAGGAGGTGGATCCTTTAGTGGCATCTGGATTGGAAACAAAGGAGGTTTCTTTGTCTACTGATGGAATTATTAATGATATTAGAAATTTGGTCAGTGACATTTCTTCAGAAAACAGTTTAAAGACAAAAAGCAAAGATGCACAAGTGAGCATTCTTCTTGAAATTGAGAAGCTCGCTGCAGAAGCCTACAGTATATTCAGAAACTCAATGCCGACATTCACTGAAGATGATATGTTAGAAGCTGAGACGTTAAAACCTCCCATTAAAATATCTTCAGGAACCGGTTCAGGATATGAGATCTTATGCCAGGGATTCAACTGGGAGTCTCATAGATCTGGAAGATGGTATTTGGAGCTACATGATATGGCTGAAGTGTTGTCATCACTTGGTTTTACCATAGTCTGGTTACCCCCTCCAACAGAGTCAGTATCACCTGAAGGCTACATGCCCAAGGATTTATATAACTTAAACTCTAGGTATGTTTTCTGTTAATCTAATTTTTAAATGAATTATTACTAAATATAAATGCTGTGGAAAGAATAATTGTTATGCAAATATAAGTCTTAAGTTATTGTGCTAGGTAAGATGTATCGAGTTGCATCCTTCATGTGACACTATAAATGTACACAATCATAGATGATCACATTTTAAGCTGTTTTACTTGCTGTTCTTAATTTTTGAATGCATATGTCATTATCGTAGGAGTACAATGATTTGCAGAAATCCCCTTAATTGCTTGAAGAGTGTGATGACTATAATCCCTATCCAGATGTTTGAGTTAACTTCTTAATTGTAGTTGTAATTACTACTCCGCACCTGTCTCAATCTTGAATCTCCTATACGAAGTATACTTTTTTATTCTAACCCCTCTGCCCCATGACAAAAAAGCACGTTTTGGGGATGGTTTGATAATGGTATATTACTGGAAATGTGAACTTGGTATACTAAAATAAACTCGGTGTATGTTTGATTTCTATCCCTTCTCCCCCAACCCAACACATTTCAATCTTTGTCAAATGGAGCAGATGGAAGTATCTAACCTGATATTGTTATTATTTGCCTCAATGCTTAGGTATGGAACTAATGATGAATTGAAAGTTATTGTGAAGAGATTCCACGAAGTGGGAATCCGAGTTCTTGGGGATGTTGTTTTAAACCATCGTTGTGCTAGTTTTCGGAATCAAAATGGAATATGGAATATTTTTGGTGGTCGTTTGAATTGGGATGAACATGCAATTGTTGCGGACGATCCACATTTCCAGGTACATAGGTTCTCTTGGATGATATTTTTCTTTCTTTTATGGTATCACTCAGGGATGTCAATGGCGGTCTATAGCGGATTAGCAGAGTAGTGGAATGGAGTGGGGGCTAGGTACTATCAGACTGCCTATAGTGCAGTGGTTGGCAATAGCACCATTAACAGGCGCTATAGCGGTTGTAGCGGGTACTGTAGAGCCGTTAAATTTTAAGAGGCTACTTCAGCACTAGTTTTGAGGGAATTAGGAAGTATATTTCACTTTTAGATGTTTATAGAGTTTTAAATAACCTCACTACACCCTCCAAAACACGCGGGGGACAACTAACCCTACTAAACCCTACTAAAATAACTCAAAATAGAAACCTAGATCAATTATAACCTACACCGTACATCTTCATAGTTTACGGGATCCCAACAAGCAACAAGCAACAAGCATGATTTTCTTATAATGAGATATTGATGACTGTTAACTTTAATGTTTAGAGGTAAGTTACTTAAATTATTTGTTTCTTTTGTTTTAAGACACTAATGCCTTTTTAATGGTAAATTAGTAAGTATAAATTTCATGATGTTTAAGATTTTGAGTAATTCATTTGTGATTTATCACTTTTTGGATTTGATATGTGCATGACATGTAATTATATATTTATATGCACACATGTAATATGTATTTTGCATATATATTGTCTAAATAGTGGTCATCCCGCTATCCGCTATTCTGCTATAGCGTTTTCGGGGTTGGCCACTACGCTCCTTTATCCGGGATTGGAAACACTGACTCACTCATTAAAATTGGGCTCAAAGGTTGTAATCAAGTTGTATGGCATAGTGTCATAGTGATAGCAACTGAAAGCCTTCGATCTGTACAGACAATATCATGTGAATATATACTTTTACGGTTTTACCTATCTCCTTTCCAATTTCAAATGGAAAACGCAAAAGGAATTAATCAAATGAAAGTACGAAACAAATAGTCAAACAGGTCTAAAATATTAAATTTTGTTTTCCCTAAATTGTTCTGAATTTTCTATTGAAAGAAAATTCTACATATCTGTTTTTCTATTGAAAGAATATATGGGTTTTTACTCATCATCGTCATTACCCCATCGTCATTACCCCGGTGCCGCAAAGGCCCACATACGGTGGGGCAAGGGGGTGTCGGATGTACGCAGTCGTACCCTTGTACTAAAGCACAGAGATACCCATAGTGAAAATTGCATCGAAAAATGCATGGACTGGACTGTTGCTTCAAAAGTATACGGGTTTTTACTAACTAGTAAAAATTTCCCATCTTTTTCGTGTTTGATAAATGGATGATGAAAAACGAGAAACTTCTTTTTCCAAGCGTCAATGAGCGATGAAATCGATGGATGATGCTCCTCTTTGTGTTTTTAGTTCTTTAAAGCTGATTCTAAATCCACATATGGAAATTAACTTTGATTTCCTTCCTGTCTTTGTGCAGGGAAGAGGCAATAAAAGTAGTGGAGATAATTTCCATGCTGCTCCAAATATTGATCATTCCCAGGAATTTGTGAGGAAGGATATCAAGGAATGGCTGTGCTGGCTGAGGTAAAATGTTTTGGATGGAAAGTAATGTTTTTTCCTTCAGTATCCTTGTTCAGTGATGAAAAATTTTATGACTTTCAAACAGATGTTTCATAAAATAGAGAATTTTTTACATCATACAAATGTTAAAAGTCATTTAGGACCAAAAAATCCCCCCCTGTATATATTCAGGAAATCAATGTCAGGGCCAACCTATACAAGGATTCTTTTCTAAAGACAGTCCTCATCTTGGCCTTAGATCATATTATAGAAATATGAAATTTATAGGCTTGAGGTTCCATTCTAAAAGGTTAATTTGATAGGAGTGTTTACCCAATATAGGACACTATCTCATGAAATCTATAGACTATCATCATTCGGGTGAATTTGATAGGAGTATAAGACTATAAGAGTATATGATGAAGAAGTGTTATGTAGGACAACATTTCATGTTGGCTCTGATACCATATGGAATAGTTCAAGATCTTATGTGTTTGTTTGTTTGTTTGTTTGTTTGTGATTTCATATTTAACCAATGGGGGACAACTTCAACATAAAAATGAAATCCCGACCGTTAGGGTAACAGGTCATGCACTTCATTTTCTTCTTATAGCATTTCAAATACACAACAAAGAACAAATTTTAATTTGGTCACTTTTTAGGATTTCTAAAGTCAATGAGTCTGTTAACTCTGTTTTGTGAAATTGTCCACAAGAAATCAGGAATGTGTTGGGGGCAGCATGAGGGGTGTTTAAACATGCTAAACAAATAAAATATACTGTTATCTAGTTTCAGATGCCATCAAGTCAATGTGGATTACTTAATTTAAAAGGTTTAAGATATGGCAATCTTCTAATTTATGCTTAATCAGGGAAGAAATCGGTTATGATGGATGGAGACTTGATTTTGTTCGTGGATTTTGGGGTGGCTATGTAAAGGATTATCTGGAAAATAGTGAGCCTTACTTTGCTGTTGGTGAGTATTGGGATTCCCTTAGTTATACCTACGGAAAAATGGATCACAACCAAGATGCTCATCGACAGAGAATTGTTGACTGGATTAATGCAACTGGTGGAACTGCGGGTGCATTTGATGTCACAACAAAGGGAATTCTTCATTCTGTATGAATTCAGTCCATAGCATTCTTCAATTCAAGATTATCTTTTGAACTTGTTAGATATGAACAGAAGGTTAAAAAACATATGAGGTTCCATTCTTACTAAAGATATTCTTATAGGCAATTGAGATGTGTGAATACTGGAGGTTGTCAGACTCAAAAGGGAAGCCTCCAGGAGTTGTTGGGTGGTGGCCATCACGTGCTGTCACCTTTATAGAGAATCATGATACGGGGTCTACTCAGGTAAATAATGAATATGTTTAAAGAGTTGTGCTAGAGGTACAAAAACTCTTACAAAAACTCTTGCAAAAGGGGTATGTGACATCATCACATTATTTAACACATTACATCACCTTTACAACACCTTTACATTAAAGGTAATTAGAATAGCCACATCACTTGTTTGTAAGTTTTTTTTGTAAGTGTGTAAGTGTGTTTGTACTTCTAGCATTTTTCATGTTTAAATCATGTTTTTTTTGTATAAGATCCCGCCCTTCAACAAACATTTTTGTTTCTCCTTTGCGTTCTTTGAGTTTATAAAACTGATCCAAGTCTTGTAGTCTTTTGCAAGGGGTAATATCAGAATAGACACTTATTTTGAAACAAATATTCAGTAACACTTGAAACTTATTCAGTAACAAATATTTAGAGACAAAAATTTCACCAGCACGGCAGCGCAACACTTGTTCAGTAATGAAGTAAAATTATGTGCCAAAGTAACTTACTCTTCAATCATATATCGTTGTGAAGGGACATTGGAGATTTCCAGGAGGAAAGGAAATGCAAGGATATGCCTACATCCTTACACACCCTGGAACACCCTCAGTTTTCTATGATCACATCTTTTCTGGGTATCAATCTGAAATAGGATCTCTCATCTCCCTCAGAAAGCGGAACAAGATAAACTGTCGGAGTACAGTAAGTGCAAGATGATTTCTTTTAGCACCACTTTTTTGAATAGCAAACTGATCGCCAAATGGAACTAAGAACTCATCTTAGAGTCATCCAAGTTTATAATATAATCCAAACTTTATGTCAAAATATCAAATGCATCCATAAAATCTTACCATGAGAATTTTAACATTATTTATTTGTTATGTTCAAATATCAAAATATCAAATGCATCCAAGTTTAAAAATTATTTATTTTAAAGGTTTAATTAAATATGTTTTTAGTCTATGCAAGTATGACATTATTTTAGTCCCTGCAAGTATGACACTATTTTAGTTCCATCATTTGCAATGGAGCCAAAGATTCATTATTTTTTGACTTGAGAATATAATGGATAAACAAAATGGCTCACTAAACTGTCTGCGCTTCTTTGTTATGAAGTAGCAGTCAGTCCATGCAATTTTGGATGCAATTTTCACTATGGGTCATCCGGAAACAGTCTCTTTGTGCTTTAGTACAAGGTAAGACTGCGTACATCCGACCCCCCTTACCCCACCCATAGGTGGGGTACTGGAGTAAATGAAAATGAAAATGATGATGCAATATTTTTTTAAATTTTTCATCCCTATAGTATGCACTATTTTATTTTTAGTCCATTTCTAATTCGAGAGTCGAGACCAGCCCATTTATATAAAAATTAAGGGCTTATGACCTCTTTATTACTAAATAATTAGTGCTTCACAAAAGAGTTGCCGTTTTTTGGAATTTCCACAAATGTGACTCTTAAGTATTACGCTTACTAAAATACCCTGACCCAATGACAAAACGTCCACAGTGACATGGTCCAAAGTGACACCACTGGCATACACTGCCATAGTGACACTGCCGCCGGTGACGCCGCCAAAGTGACACGAGTCGTAGTGACACCGCCGTCAATGATGCCGCCATAGTGACACGCCATCGGTGACGCCACCACAATGACACGCCACCAGTGTCACCGCCACAGTGACACATAGCTGGTGACACCGCAACAGTAGTGACACGCCGTCGATGACGCCGCTGCCCCGCCGGTGACGACACCACAGTGACGCGAGTCGTAGTGACACCGCCGTCGATGACGCCGCCACAGTGACACGCCATCGGTGACGCCACCACAATGACACGCCACCAGTGTCACCGCCACAGTGACACACAGCCGTTGACACCGCAACAGTAGTGACACGCCGCCGGTGACGACACCACAGTGACATCACCAGTGAACCGCCACAATGACGTCACCGGTTCCGACTACATTGACAAGCTGACTTTGTTCACAGTGACATCTCCTCTCCATCGGAGACCACCGCTCCCCAACTGTTGTACCACCGCCATTGCTCCCCTCACACCACTGTCACTGGCTCACTGCCACACCCTCTCAGCACACCACCATCACCATCACTGCACATCCCCACACCACTGCCACTGCCCCACCTTCACACCACCGCCAGTGCTCCACCCTCGCACCCCTCCATCACCACCAGCCCCACCCCGACCTTCCCAACTCCCTTCGTGTGACACAACCGCCGCCCACCATTTCCGCCTCCCATCACCGCCGCCATAGACTTCACAACGAGATCCGTTTACCAGCGAAGAAGAATGGAGAAGAAGAGAATTGTGTGGATGCGAGAGCGACGTCGGCGCATGGGTGGAGACCTGGGGGCTGCGGCCGAGAGTGGCGTTGACTGGTGGAGAGAATTTCTTCGGCGGAGCCGCGAAGTGGAGGTGGAGGCACAGGTTTTGTGGAGGAAGACGACATGCGCAGATCTGGTGGAGAAAGAAGAAGATGCCCAAATCTATTTGAGCGGAGGAATTATGGGATGAGGGTGTCTAGATACAGCTGGTCAGGGGTACTTAAGTCAGTTAACATATTTTTACTCTCTTTTTTGTCTACACGTCATATATTTGCCCCATGAAAGCTGAGAAGTAATATCCATGCCATTATTTCAAAAATTAATGTTGGTTGCACAAATCTACTAGAAACTTTTAAATGTATTCTTTTATATTTTCAGAGGCTAATATGAGAGTTAAAACAATGTAAAACTAATCATTCACATTGTAAAATAGGTTTAATAATCTTCTAAAACATAAAATTACTTGTTTTTTTGAATGACATGACAAAGAATGAGAGAAAACCTATTCGTTATGGTTGTTTTGTTGTCAAATGGAGAAACCAAACAAAAAAACCATTTTCATGGGCATTTCCTCCCTTTACCTTCCTTTTTGGCTTTTTCCAAGTTCCGAACGTATCCTTTGTGAAGCAAATGAACGAAAATATGGTATGGATGATAAAATCTACGCATCTGTGATGTATAATTCAGGTAAAAATAACCAAGGCAGAAAGGGATGTTTATGCAGCAATGATTGATGAAAAGCTGGTGGTGAAAATTGGACCAGGCTATTACGAACCCCCAAGTGGACCCCAGAAATGGTCTGTGGCTCTCGAGGGAAGCGATTACAAGGTTTGGGAAGCATCATATGAAAATCTGTAGCTATGCGATAAATACCTAAACTGCTTCTCAAGTGGACAGGAGTCGACCTGAGCTTTAAAAAGCATGTCTTTATCGGAGAAATAGTTACAGGCTCGACCACATCATATATCAGTCTTCATGTTGGTGTATATACATAGCATAGCAACATAGACATAAGAACTGTGTTGCATTGTCTTTTTTTATATGGTGGCAATGAAAGCTGTCATGGTTACATAGCATTCTTCATTAATACATGAAGAATGCTACATACGGAGTGTAATAATTAATACCCTGTATTGTTGAATTACCCTTTGCTGCTATTTTTTTACATATGGAAAAGTTGCAGTAGTGTTGTATAGTTTATTTTTCTGATTTGTATTTGTATTCTGAATCTCACACTTCAGCTATAAAGCTTGAAAAAGTACTCGTAGTATTTCAACTAATTTTACGTCTAATTAGCAATGATGCCATTGATGTGTTTTGATACAATTACAGGAAGACATGAAGTGAATCAAATTAGAGTACTCCACTTGAAACTTGACTTAAATTACTACGTACTTGACATATCAGTTTGAGCTTCATTTACTTTATAAAATCACATGAAACGAATTAATTAATTCAAATATCACAATTAGCAAGTTTATATTTATATATGGAGCATGGACCCCATGCATCGGTCCTTGTTGCTGCCTAGTCATGGACCCGGGCCGGGTCTAGGCCCAATCGGGCCTCGGGTTTATATGAGGGAGGCCCGGGACTGGCCCGTGCTATGGCCGGTGCCGGTTCGGGACGGGTCACCCGCCCGGGTCACGGGTCAGGCCACCCGTCGGGCCGGGTTGGGTCCTATATATATACATACATATATACATATATATATATATATATATATATAAATTGTAGTTTATACAAATTCTTATTAAAAACAAAATTCAAGTGCATTTATTTGATATAAGAACTACATTTGAGAATTGAGAAAAAAATTACAATATGAAATACATTTTCTAATAAATATCAATTGGAATTTCCGCCATCGTTGGTTGTTGTTTTGTCTTTGTCACATGATTTCATATGATTTCATCCCGTATCCGTGTAACGCCCCAAGCTACTCTCTTTCTTGCAAGTTGCCCATCACAGCCCGGTCTTCGGGTCCTTCCACTTATCAAAATTGTTTTGCATAAGAGGAGATTTACTTTCCATCTTTAAAATAGTAGATGTATAAGTAGGAATGTAGGATAATAAGAGAAGATGAAGATGGAAAAGAGTTGGAGAAGAGGTGTAGAAAAATGTTAGAAAATAGATGTATTTATAGAATTTTTTGAACCCCACTCCCCACACCACCACCCCCGGGACCCCCCGTCCCCACCCAAATCCCCAATGACTATATAGCCGTTTGGGAGCTATTTTTTTATTTTTTTAAATACCTTTTATTTTAAAATTATACATATTGTAAAATAAGTTAATTAATTTAATGAATTAAGTATAACTATTTTTACTTAGAAAAGTGGTTTGATTTATAATTTACAAATGTTACAAAATAGGTGTATTTAAACAAATTACATATTGTAAAGCTATTTTTAATTTAAAAACACCCTTTAGAAAATCAATTGTAAGTTGTAAGTTTGTAACCAATTAATTAATTTGAGAAGTGCTACATATGAAAAACTGAATGCATTTTTATTTGAAATATGAAGTACAAGTTTACAAATTACAATTGAGAATTGAGGAAAAGATTAAAACATGAAATACATTTTATAATATATTCTAAAATACTAATCAATCGGAATCTCCGGCATAGGTAGAGCCACCATCGGTTGTTGAGTCATCCATAAAGTCTTGGGAGGGGGTGATGCTCATTTCTTGAGTTCTACGTGCGGCCTTCAACCAATCGTGGTAGCATATAAGCATTTCAAGAGAGTTTGCGCTCAATCTCGTTCTAGATGCCGTTAGGACGTTGCCGGCCGAACTAAATTCTTGTTCCACGACAATTGTTAAAACCGGCATTGATAGCACTTGCTTAGCCATTCGTGTTAAAATCGGGAACGTTCTTTCTTTTGACTTCCACCACTTTAGAACGTCAAAGTCATCATTTTCTTCAAATTCAACTTCATATGTTAAATACAAAGTAATCTCATTTATTGCGTTTTGTTCAGTAGGGTGAGTTGTTTTAGTTTTTTCACAAGATTGCCAAATGCGGATTTAAAAATTGATTTTCCTTTAGATGAAGATGTTCGTGTCGGGGGAGGGGGCGCGTTGCCATATTGTGCACGAAACTCATTAAATAAGGCATAAAGCACTAACCTTGTTGTATCCCGTTTTCGGATCTATGAGGTTATCGTCATACATTGGAAATTCACCAAAAAAAGCAAGATAATAGAAGTTGAAACAATCTTCCAAATTAGCTAGTCTAAAACGAGGATCGAGAATAAATGCAATACCATAAATATGCGGAATATGTGCCTAATATTTTAAAAACTTTTCCTTCATAAAATCACAAAAATAATTCACGTAAACGACATTCTCAAATTCTTTAAAAGCACTGGCGAGATTAACAGCTTCACGAATAAATTGGTTTGCGGTAGGTTTATAAGCATGACTAAAAGTTTCAGTTGCATTAAAAGAATACGGAGTATAGGCTAAAGGGTCAAATAGGTACATGAACTAACTTAAAGTGTTCAACTAGCCCCTTATACAGGAGGTTCTTCTCGGCCGTCGCATATTGGGGCGGTTCCCGGTGGAATTTTTTGATGAATTTTTTTGAGCATGTTCTTCATTAAGTCTAGTTTACCCATACCAAATTGCAGCTAAAAATTCAACCGAGAAGACAATCAAATGTTTTTTTGAAGATAACTGTGCAGTTAAACATCGCAGTATATTTTGGAAAATCATTTGACTGCCTTCCCGATTTAATTTTTAACTGATTTTTGGTATGAATAAACTAGACTTAATGAAGAACATGCTCAAAAAATTTCATCAAAAAATTCCACCGGGAACCGCCCCATTATGCGACGGCCGAGCAGAACCTCCTATATAAGGGTCTAATTGAACACTTTAAGTTAGTTCATGTATCTATTTGACCCTTTAGCCAAAAATATATCAAAACATTACAAATTTTTTCGCATGTGTCGATCTCAGCCGAGTTTATAATATAGTTATCATGTTGTTTTAAAAAAGCAGGAAAATGTTCTTTTTATCTAAGAACAACTTTAAGTAATTTATAAGTACTATTCCAACGAATACTCATATCTTTAGGAAAAGCAACATATCTCACACCTCTTTCAGTCAAATAAGTTTGTCATTTTAATCTAAGTTGATCATTACCCCAAATACGTCTAATCCTCCCATGACTACCTCCATAGCATCTCCTAACGCATTTAGACCGTCTTGCACACATAAATTTATAACATGGCATGCACAACGTCGATGAAAAATCTACCCATCAAAGTATTGGCACCACACAATTCACGCAATTTAGGTATAGCAGCAATATTATTAGTAGCATTATCGAAACCAATAGCAAACACCTTATCAATCAAATTATACTCAATTAAAATACGCTCAATCAAAATATAAATATGTTCAGCGGTGTGACGATCATTAAATTCACGAAAAGCAAGAACACATTTACGCATATTCTAATCCTCATCAATATAATGTGCAGTCAGACCCAAATAATTTAAATGATGAAAATCATCCTCCCATATGTCAGAACAAATAGTAACACGCCCATCAAAGTTTGCAAAAAAATTTTGTAACTTTGCCTTTTCCGCACCACAAAGCCTTATAATTTCTTTCTTAACAGTTTTGCGACTATAACCTCTAAACTGAGAATTTAAACTACCGCATGCATAATCTCCTAAAGCAAGACTTTCAGAAAACATATAAGGCAAATTTTCTTCACAAATTAAGTTAGCCATACTAGTCAAATTTTGTGCATCATTGTATGAGAAATTACCAAAAGGTCCAAGTATGTTATTCAGAAAATGGAGAAAAAACTCTCCAATTTCCTTTGGGATAATTCTGATGACCATAATAGGAAAATTTGGTGTAGCTGGAAAAATTGTTGCTACCCAGTTTCTGAAAGTGGTTTAGGCTTCAGGAGCCTCCATCATATCCAGCAAACCTTTTTCCTTAAGCTAAATTGGAAGCTCGAAAATAACACAGGTTTATGGGCCAATTGGGTCAACTCTCTAAAGGATGATACCAAGTCTGTTATGTCCAGTTCTATTGAGTCCATCCGTAATATTTTTGATGCAAATTGCAGGATTCAATTGAACAATGGCTCAAGCTCCTTTTGGTTCTCCAATTGGAACGACATTGGACCCATTTACCATCACCTGGAGGACATCCCTCCTGATACTATTAACCTTACTATTACTGAGGCTTTTCATTCTGGCCGGTTGATACCTGAGATCACAAACTGTCTGCCCAGACACGTTACTGACAAAATTCACGAGACACCTATCCACTTTAATGATTCCGAGGATAAGTGTGTTTGGCAACAAAGTCCTAAAGGCAATTTCACTTTTAGTAGTGCCTATGATGCTAATAGGCCAAAGAGGCATCCAAATCCCACTGCCAAATATATTTGGAATGCTCGCACACCAAAAAAAATATCCTTTTTCTTATGGAGAATTCAACACAATCTTATTCCTTTTGGGGAAAATCTGACTCACATGGGCTTTTTAGGCCCTTTCAAATGCCCGTTTTGTCAAAATCATGACACCAAAGACCATTTTTTCCTTAAGTGCGATTTTAACAAAGAAATATGGAGCTACTTTGAAAATATTTTTAAATTCCACCCCCCTCATGATGGTAGCCTCAATACCTATATGGTGCGTTGGTATAAGGACTTTAAAGGTCCCTCCCTGGAACTTAATTTCATTCTTCCAAATATCATTATTTGGCATCTTTGGAAAATCCGCAATACTTTTCTTTATGATGAAAAAAAAGGTCATATTCCTGAGGCTATCAAAGCTATTAAAAATGATCTTTTTGCCTTATCGGTTGCCAAACCTTTTATCACAAACACCTCACATCCTCAAATCAATCTTCTCACTATAAGGCCCAAAAAAATCCACACCATACCTACTGCTGTCCATTGGATAAAACCCCCCAAGGAGCACTTCAAAATAAATATGGCTTCTTGCGATCTTAATCCCAATCTCATCCGCACGGTTGCTCTCATCCGCAATGCCACCGGAAGTTACACTGGTCATATCTCCCAGCTTGATAAGCATAATGACCATTCTCTTGCTATTTATGATGTTATTATTAACCTTTTTACTCATCTTAATTTTGATAATATTATTATTGAGGTTGATAACAAAGACATTTATGAAGGCATCATTGGTCATTCCATTCAACACTGGAAATATTGGTCCCGCATATGCACTGTCAAGAAAAAGCTAAAGGAATTCAATTGGACAATCATGCACATCAATCGTGAAGTCAACAAAGCAGCCGATTACTT